TGGGGAGGAACTGATCACTCTTCCTTTTGTGAAGCGGATGGGCTTGTGTCCTTGTCTGCGGTTGGTGGGCCAAAGGTCTCGTGCCTCCGAGTGAGAACCAGTCGCGCGATGGGGACATCGCGTTTTGAGTGGGGGGAGGGTGTGCCATCCACCAATGAAAACGCATGCAAAAGAATTGTGTAATTGGTTTTGTGTGGGCCTGAGAAAAGGGGGCCTGGCAAGATGCCCAGAACAGAAGAGAATTGTGTAATTGGCTTTGCGTGGGCCCGAGGAAAAGGGGCCTGGCAAGATGCCCAGAAGAGAAAAAAGACTTGTGTGGTTGTATTGGCACGAGCTTGAAATGGGTCGGGCGATACATCCGAAAAGGAAAAGACTCGTATGATTGACTTTGTATGGATCTGAGAAAAAGACTGGCAGGCTGGGAAACGGATGAGTAATTGGTTTGAATGAGCCCGAGAAGAAGGTCTGACACAAAGAGTGATATGGATGCGGAATTGGCAGGACCTGAGAGAGACCGGGTAAAATGACCCAGAGAAATGCATGTGGATTGGCTAAGCTGGAGCCTTGGGGAGAAGGAAAAGTTGTACTGAAAACATGAATTGCACGGGCCGAAAAGTAGAAAATTTGTGGATGTTCTGAGAGTAATGAATGAGACAAAATCGAAATGGTGCCTGCACGGGAATGTTTTTTTTTATGAAATGGGAAGATAGATTTGAGATTACAAAGCACTTAGGGGGAATTGTGCTTGTGTTCATTGATTCGAAGTGGGTAGCACCACAGCAAAGGTGGCAGTTGTACTGGACAAACATCCCCTTCCGGAGCAAATGCCTGATATTGAGTCACATTCGAAAACTTGCCTACAATTTGTTATCAACAATGCCAAGGCATATAATGAGAAAACCCATGGTGTTGTGACAACAAATCGTCATCCTGGGAATAAAGTCAGCATGCCAATAGTTAAGCATATAAAGCAAGGCGAGCATCGTCTGCCTCATGTTATTGAAGTCGAAAGAATTATGGGCTACCTTGCTGGGTATAAAGAGTTGACTGAAGAGGAAGTTCGTGTCTCAATTGAGGGGAAAGATAAAGAGACAGAGCTATGACGGAAATGAGCAACCTGGTCTAAGCTGTAGAACCTTCGACTCCCCCATACCCTCCTCCACCCCAAGGGGCGGAAGCCAAGGAAAACATTGAGAAAGGAATAGGAAAAGAACGAAATGGACCCTGACAAACTAACCATCCATAACATCTCATCTCCCTCTCTCATCTATTCCCTCAAAAACTCACATCCAGGAAATTGGTGCGCGATGAGGACATCTCGAAAGAGTGGGGGGAATGTGCCGGGACTGGTGAGTCCCGAATAACTTCCCATCACTCGAGAGACCGAATATGGACAAACTGTGCACAACAGAGAAATCCGAAGTGAGACGAGATAAAGGATTTGACCGCAAGAGGGAGTAATTCCCCGGGGCAAGAACCACAGGGGGAGAGAACTAAGCGGTGGCAAGCGAGCGAGCGCAAGAACAGGGGTACATAGAACATAGCAGGAGGCCGGGAGGGCCATCAGAATGCAATAAGACTAAGGCCAAAGGACCCTTTGAACTAGCAATTGCAGCGCGACAGCAATAAGGGAATGAGGAAGTCGAGGGATGCGCAGCCAGAAGTCGCGGGAAGCTAGGAAATGAGCGGCCAATGTGGGGCCACCTACGGGAACCTCGGAGCGGAGGCCCACGACCAAAGAGATCGGCACGCGCAAGGTGCGAGGAAAGACCAAGGAGAGGGGTCGCTATGGGGCGACAAGACGCCCAAGGGGCATGAAACACCTCGGGGAAAGACACCCGGGGCCACGTGGGTCTAAGTAAAAATAATGACATCCGGGGCGAAAAGTGTCGGGGACCGCCGACGGGACTAAGTGTCGGGGACCGCCGACGGGACTAAGTGTCGGGGACCACCGGCGGGACTAAGTGTCGGGGACCACCGACGGGACAAGCGGCACGAACAAGTGAAAATCCCAAGAAGAAACAACGCCACCGCATGAGAGAAAAATAATAAATGCAAGGTGCACCGTCAAGATAGACATCTCGACGGCCAAGAATATTAGCACCACTAGTGTAAGTACTAGTGGTGACAAACGGGAAGGCCAAAAGGAAAAGGAAAAGTAAAGAAAACTGAAGTGGGAGGCATGGGAGCAATCCGAAAAATCTCGCATCAGCCTCCCTCAAGAAAATAGAGTCAAATAAGACCCCATGTGAAAAATAGCCCTCTGGGAGAAAATCGGAGTAGGAGGGACCATTGTGGGAGAAATGTAGGAGTAAAAGGAGGCTCCCATGGGCATGGGAAGGCCATTATTGCAGTCCGAGAAATAACGGACTGCACCTTGGGCATAGGGAGGGCCAAAACTAAGAGGAAGAGGCTAGAAAAGGGCCTTAACGGCCACTTGACACTTGGCATGCTAGAAAAAAAAAAAAAAAAACAGTGTGATTTTGCATTCTGGATTTTTGTGCTTCGTCCATATTCATGTTCCTTGCAATGATCTCTCTTCAAAAAAAAAAAAAAACATCAGAACTGTATTACTAGGGGGGGTGCTACAAGCAGCTGACCCTAGTAAGTGTTCTGGTTGCTCGAATCTATTGGCAGGGAGCCGCACCTGCTGGAAAACAGGTCCAGCATGGCTGTCGCCCTTAAAAAAAAAAAAAAAAACTTTAACAGGCCCCACAGGACCAGGACAGTTGTCACTCCTCATGAGTATTGCGCAAGCAGAATTGAACTGAAATCAGCTAGATTCTTCTGTTAATTTCACGTCACACTACCTACCTACCAGTACTCCTAATTGTAGGCATATGGGGAAACCCGTAGCAGCCAGAACCGTGTTCACGAGAGAACATGCGAGGGCTGCTCCCGACCTGCAGGTGGGCGATACTGGCTAGGGGACAGCCGGTAGCGTTTGGCTCATTCATTTAAAGTAAATTTAGACCTGATCTACCCAGAAACAGACAGTCGCAAGGCTGAGTAGATGTCGTATGGGGCTTCTTGCCTGTCCTGCTGGCTGTGCTTACAACATACACCGTTGTTGGGGGAGG